CCAAGTTCTGAATTCTGTCTCTAGGGCAAGAACAGGCTAGTCACTATAAACAATTGAATCCAGCCTTTAAGGTTCAGCTGAACAGGGGCTCCTTTATCTGCTGAGGAGTGAATTCAACACCTATCATTTTGCTTTTCAAAAGGAAGACTTGGTGAGTAAGTAGTATAATGAAGTGGGTTGTGTCTAGAATACAAAAACAAACAAACAAAAACTGTAAGAAATTATCTTGATTTTCATCAAATGTCGCCCTAACTTCTGAAATCCATTTTTGCTGAGGATGCTGTGGTATGACGAGGTGTCTTTAATGAAGTCTTTGAAGACAGATTCTTCCAAGGAGAGAGTCTGTCATGGGATTGCATAAGAGACTCTCCCAACAGTTAGACATGGAACGATGGGCCCACCTAGACTCGATGGCCATGGGGGAATCGAGTTTTGTTGTTGTCCTCATTCCTATATGACTCCTAGGATGTTCTTATACACACTGCTTCTTTATACGGATCCACGACTACCATGTATTCTTATTATTCTGTCTTCCAACTCCTAACTTTTTTTCCAATCATTTTTTTTTTTTACAGACTATATTTCACATACTATATTTCTTTGTGAGAGGTTGTTGGTGTTTGAGTTTTTGGAGTTTAGCTCTCCTAAATGTCTTTTTCTTAAATCCTAAAAAAAAAAAAATTTGGTCTGATTCCTGAAGGCCACTACCAGTGACTCTGTAAATCTAGAATGGTGTTTGCTTTACACAGTTCTTTGAAGACATATTCATCGTTTTAGTGACAATTGAAAAGACACTTTGTGTCTCATGTACTGCAGTTTTACTTCGGTTTGTTTTGATGTGGGTTTCTTTTTACTGTTTGTATTTGGACTTTATTATAATTCTAAGTCTGGTGATTTACATACTTTACACATTCTTGAACGATGCTAGCCCATATCTTTTCATAACTGTCTTCCCTCAATTCCATCTTAAACCTTCTCATTTTATTTTCATTATCTCCACCTCCCAATTTCTATTTCTGCCTCTCTGATGCAGTCTGTGTAATGAGTTTATATATCTCCACTGTACTCATACTATTTGATTCATTTAATGTTTCAATATTTATAATTTTATTTCTCTTAATTTTTTGACTGTGTTTCAAATCCTTCTGGACACACACGCAGACACACACACAAATATTCTCAAAAACATTTTTTAAGTCCATCTAGTTCACACATTTTTCTGATTTTCGTAGGTGCCACGTTTGTTGTCTTTTTTTTTTCTTGTAGGCTTATTAAAGCCTATTATTTGTTTGTTTATTTGGTGGTGGAGCGGCAGCTGCTGCTGTTTACTTGAGCTGATTCTAGGTATAAATGAGGGTTTCACACATGCTAAAAATGCTCTACTAATGAGCTATAGTCTCAGCCCTTTCTGTGTTTTTAATTTGGGGACATGATCTCAGCTAAATTGCCATAGCCTTTAACTCCTCTATATCCCAGACATGCCTTGAACTTGTGATCCTCTTGACTGTAAACAAGGATTACAGTAATGTACCACCAAACTTCTTATTGATTTTTAATTGTGAATTTATTTGTGGGAAACTTCTCATGAGATTTGAGCTTCTGTTGTGTGGTCCTGAGAGAACTTGTTTGCCTTTGCCAATTACCAGAGTCACTTTAAAATTAAAATTAACAATGGTACTGTGACTTTCAGAAATACATTGCTTGAATTTAAGGTGCAAATGTGTTGATTTATTTCTAGTTATAAGTTTCCTTGCTGACTTCTCTTGGGGTGATATTTCAAAACTAATATCGTTTAAGATATTAACATTTATTTCTGTGTTACCTCATTTGGGATGATCTTTTCTAGTTCCATCCATTTGCCTGCAAATTTAATGATTTTTTGTTTTTAATAGCAGAGTTGTATTCCATTGTGTAAATGTGCCACAATTTCTGTATCCTTTCCTCCATTGAGGGAAATCCAGGTTGTTTTCAGATTCTGGCTATTACAAATAAAACTGCTATGAGCATGCTATGAGCAAATGTCCTTATTGAATGGTAGGACATCTTTTGGGGTAGATGCCCAGGAGTGGTATAGCTGGGTCTTGAGGTAGTGCTGTTCCCAATCTTCTGAGAAAGCACCAGATTGATTTCCAAAAAGATCATCCTGAGTGAAGTAACCCCAAACCAGAAAGACAGATGGTATTTATACTCACTTATAAACAGATCTTAGCCATATAATATAGGCTAGCCATACTAAAATCTACAAACCTACAGAAGCAAAACACTAAGGAGGACCCTAGAGAGGATGCTTAAATCTCATTCAGAATGGTAAACAGGATAGACACCAGAAGTGGTGGAAGAGAGGAAACAGGATGGGAGCCTACTATTGAGGGTCCTCTGAAAGGCTCCACCCAACAGGGAATCTAAGCCTATGCTGAGACTCACAGCCAAACTTTGGGCAGAGTACAGGGAGTCCTATGGAATAAGAGAAGAGTGGAGATAAAAGGACATGGAGGGGACAGGAGCCCCACAAGGAGTCCAACAAAGCTAAAAAAAATCTGAGCCCAGGTGGTCCTTCCTGCATAGATTGATGTACCAACCAAGAACCATGCATGGAGAAGACCTAACCCCCTTGCTCAGATGTAACCAATTAGCAGCACAGTCTCCATGTGGATTCCCATGTAAGTAAGTAAGAGTAACAGGGGCTGCCTCTGTCATGAACTTAGTTGCTTGCTCTTTAATCACTTGCCCCTGGCAATGCAGCCTTGCCAGGCCACAGAGGAAGAGGATCCAGGCAGTCCTAATGAGACTTGATAAGCGATGAGCAGATGCCAAAGAGGAGAACTCCCCTTTTCAGTGGACTATGGGAAAGAGATGGGGGGAAGAGTGAGGGAGGATGGGACTGGAAGGAGTTGAGGGAGGAGGCTTTAATCAGGATATATAAGGAAAAAATTGAAAAAAATCAACTGGGGAAATCAGACTGGGGAAGGTGCTTTGTATTGGATGTTCGATCTCGAACACTATCTACTCTTTGACCCCTGTCATTTGTCACTATCAAATGACAAATTTGACTATCTGAACTAAAGCTTAAGATCACCAGATGTGGGCGATGACCAGACTTGTCCTTCTCTGGATCCCAATATGTTTTAATCATTTTACTTCTGAGACTTTTTCTCATGTATCACCCACACAGATGTATACTGTTGAACTAAAATCTGTTATTACTAGTGTAATTTTATTGCTTCTAATTGCATCTAGTTAACACCACCAGAATCAAATGATTAGTCTCTAAGAACATAAGCTAGGTTCCATAGAGTGCAACGTTCTTCTGCCTCAGCCTCCCTAGTGCTGGCATAAAAAGTGTGACCCACTATGCCTGACTCTCCAATAGTTCACAAAGTATTTCACATTTTTGTATTTAATTTAAAAATATATTTGCCTATTTTCTTGTCTTGGTAGAAGTCTCCTCACGTCATTTGAATGGATGCCTAATAGTAAATCAATGAACAAAGAATCATTCATTCAACACTTCTCTCACTGAAAAACATTTAGGTTATTTTCAGTTTTTCGCTATCATTAAAACTGTTCGGATATGGGTGTGATTCCAGCTGAGACTCCTCATGGGGTTAGGGAAGAATGAAGACTGAAATGACTACCTCATAGCCAGGCAGGACTGGTGGAAAGAGAGAATCAACAACTCACCAACAAAAATTACCTTGCCTACAAGAATTGCAGAGATAATGGGGGAACAAATATAGAGGGAAAGTCCAACCAATGATTGGCCCAGCTGAGACCCACCCCACAGTAGAGAGCCATCCCCTGACACTAATAGTGATACTCAGCTATGCTTTCAGACAGAAGCCTAACTTGACTGTCCTCTGGGAGGCTCCAGCCATAGCAGATCAAGACAGATGTTGGGACTTGCAGCCAAGCATCAGGTGGAAACTCTGGGGGTCCTGTCAAAGTGTTGGGGGAAAGATGGAAGGACCTGGAGGGGATAGGAACCTCAGAAGAAGACCTACAGAGACAACTAACCCAGTCACATGGGTGCTTACAGAGACTGAGACATCAGCTAAGGAGCACGCATGATCTGGACCTAGGTCCCCCTGCACACATGTAGCTGATGGGAGACTGTCTTCAGATGGGGCCTGTTTCTAACATGGACTCTCTTGCCTGCTTTTGAATCACTTTTCCCTTTCAGGGCTGTCTTGCCTGGTCTCGGGTGGAAGATGTGCGCAGTTCTCATGTGACTTGATGTGCTGGGGAGGGTTAATGCGAGGGGGCTCACCTTTTCTGGGGGAAAAGGGAAAAGGGAAGGGGGGAGGAGGGGGAGCAGGGGGCTGGGAGGAGGGAAGGGAGGGGCACCCTTGAGATGTAAAGTAAATAAACTAATATAAAAAAAATTTTAAGGACTGTCAATGTGTTGCTTATTTGTATATCTAAATTAAAACCTGATAGTTAGAATTTCCAGGTCAAAGAGAATGATGCTTAAGTTCCTTTAAAATATTTTTAATTTTTTGACATTGTAATATAATTACATCATTTCCATTTTTTTCTTCACACGTTCTCCTTCCCTTGTTCTCTTTCAAATTCTAGGCCTCTTTCACTTTAATTGTTGTTGTTGTTGTTGTTGTTGTGTGTGTGATGTATTCCTGTGTAAATAAGAACGAGCTCCACCTGTATAATAGTACTTGTATGTATATATTTTTCAGGGCTAACGTTTGTTTTATTTGAATTTGCTTTTCAGAGCTTGAGGAAAAACTGCTTTGAGAAAGAAAAAAAATCCAACATGCCTGTAACTTCAATGCTATATATTTACTGAGTTTTCTGTGCGCCTTATCAATAATTTGAAAAATGATTGTCTCCTAACTACTGTGCAGCATTCATTCCAGAGTGAGGACATTATAAACATATGCATGGAGCACTTTGAATAGATATTTAGCATTCCAGATGAGGAACTGATTTAAAGCAATTTTTTTTTTTCTCACATTCAGCCCATGAAAATCTGATCTGTTAAACCAATGGCTGTAGAACTTTCATCTCACTGTGAGTGCCCTAACTGTTTGGGAGGTATTCAGAGTGAGTCTGACTGGAATTGCTCTTCCAGAGAGAGAGGCGATGGCGCTTCCTACTCAAAATCAAGTAAGAAATCCACGCTCTCTCCCATCATGCAACGCTTCCTTTCTCAATGTTGTTGTAATAAGGCGGAAAGTGCTAACGGGGATGACTCCGAGTCTCTCCCCTCAGAGGAGGAAATTTCTGTGGGCGTCCCTCAAAAACGGAATATCAGCCAGACGCCAAAGAACACCAAACGGAAGATCAAACCGTTGAGAGAGCTGACAATCCAAGAACTTCTGAAAAGATTTGTAGACAGTGGAAAGTTTCAACCACACTTCATGTCCCTGGGCCACTTCAGAGACCAGGTGCTTGTGAAGTTCAGAAGAGCCCTGTACTATTCTGGAATCTGGGTAAAACATGTTCAGGGCTCGGGACTGGAAAAGCATTTTTCAGCTGATTATTTCAAAAGAAATCCCAGTAGCCTGTACCGTCTCATTCCCTGGCTGAAACGGGAACTCACAGCTCTTTACGGAGACTGTGGCTACACAGTGAAGAACATTCAAGCTGACATTCTCCATCACATGACAAAATTTAACTTGGACAGTGAATCCTTCACTTGCCTGCTGGAGCCTTATCTCCTACACCACACCCGGCACTTTCTGCATGAGTTTACCACTTTTGTTGATTCGTCTTACAACATGGAGACCTATGACCAGTGTGCGCTCTATCAATGTCCTGTTACCACATGGATGAAAAACAAGAACACTCTTTCAGGTCCAGTCTTGCCTTTGCCTGAGAATCGCTCCCTCATGATATCTCAACCAGCCACAAAGCTGTCTAAGAACACCGAGGCTCAGCATAATAAGGCTGAACAGAGGTCTCACTCTGGCTTGAAAGAATTTCCAAATCGTAATTATTCCTCAAAAAATTTCCAAATCTCAAAAATCCATCAGAAAAGGGCAGACAATGTTTGCACCAAAGACGATTTTAAGGTCTGTACTACTAATTCATTACTGGATTGGGCTAATAGCAGGGAAAGCAGGCCAGACACTGACACTGTGTATTACAAAAACAATAATCAAGAGAAAGAGACAAAAGGCACAAAGCTGCTCCCTGACCATATCCAAAATGGGCAGAAGTGTGAAACAAGTTTGCATACCTTTCAAGCATCAGTGGATTCTCAGCAGGTACCACCAAGCAAGTACAATGTAAGGGAAACAAATATTTTGAATCAGGGCCAACAGGTACATAATCAGAAAAAAGAAGCAGAAAAAAAACTTGAAGAATCTTTACAAAAGGTTTTTGAAAGAATGCCTAGAGAAAGAACCTTGATAAAGAGCAAATCCAGAGAGACTCATCATTCCTGTAAATGGATCTCAGAAAATATCCACTCTCCTACAAAAAATGATAAAATGCTGGCTTCTTTTAGAAGAAATAAAGTAAGGTGCCAGTCCTCCCAATGTGTAGAAGTTGCTTCATCACACCACAGTAGAAGAACCCAAAGACCATCCAGTTCCAGCACACCCAGACCCAAATCCTGGTGTGTCGAATCCAAAAAGCAACCCATAAGCAGAGATCAGAGCAATCTCTACCCAAGGGGAAGTCACAAGCACTTCATCCAAAATGTGCAGTGCAGGCTGTCCACAGGAAGTCTGTGTGGCTGTGAAGCAGCATACAGAAAGGTGTCTTTGACCCCAGTCCACCCTGCCCAGGCTTGCTTAACCTATGGCAATAGAGACAGCTGCACAGGTAAAGGTGATTCTCAAACTGGAAGACAGTGTGACAGCCTCTCAAGCCTACAGACAGAGAAATATCAGTCCTCAAGTAAGCAGGAAATGAAGGACAAGAACCTAGATGGTAGAGCTTGGAGAATCAGAACAGTTGGGCACAAAAACTGCAAATGCCAGTGTATGGGTACACTAACTACAGGTGAGTTCAGTAATGAATTGGGAGATCTCAGTGACTAAGGAAAAATGAATTGTCATTCTGAATGTGTGACTACCAGCAGAGAGTACATTTACAAAAGAAAAGAATTCAAGATTTCAGAAACATCTAGTCAAAAGTGACTCCAAAATAGCATCAGAAACAGATAGATATAAATGGTTTTGAAAGGCAAATGAGTCTATTTAGAAAGTTACCACAGCTCACTGAAAATATGGATATGACCTGAAATATATGAAAATACTTATTATAGAACTTTGTAATCAGAACAAATAATCTAAGGGTTAAATTCAAAGCTCTTATTGGTGACAAATATACATTATTAAATTATTCATATATGTAAATAATATTTCCGTCTGCTTTCTGTAAATGAGTAGAATCCTAAAAATATTTTACTTGGACTCTGCATAAATTGGACTCAGTGGGTAGAAGGGCTTGCTGTCTGGAATCATTCTCTGGGACCCACATGGTAGAAGGAAAGAATCAACTCCTTTAAGCTCTCCTCTGACCTCCACCAGTGTGTCATGGCATGTACATACACACACAAAGAAAGAAGGAAATATAGTTTAAAATTTTTAGAAAGTATTTTACTTATATTTCAGTTTTGAGTTTAACTCTGAAAATTGGTTACCCAAATTTCCCAACACTACAAGTACTATATTAAGAATAGGAATATAAGTTAATAAACAATTATGAATATTAAGTATGCCTCAAAATATATTTGTGTGTGTCTGTACTAAATTTTAGAACTAGCAGAATTTGTGTGCCTAGAAAACATGACATGGCCACTGCCTTAAGACATCCACCTGTTTGTAGACCTATGGTCACTTCGTAGTCACTGGAATTTCAAATTTATTTAAATAAACTAGTTAAAGTGAACATCCCTAGGATTTTTACAGCCTTCTCCACACACCCTGACATGTACGAATTTTAAGGAATGTGTTTAAATAATTCTGATTCTACACTCACAGAAGCCAGATCCAATCATAGTGAGTCCTCCTCAGAAAAGTATTCAAAGTATTTTGCCCTCTGTCTCAGAATTGACAAGTCCAGTGGAGACCAAGCTATTGGATGTCCCAAGAGTTTTCAAGCTATTCTGAGAAAGAGTGGTTCTTCTCACTTGTGGCAGATGATAAAGGAGCTAAAGCTTTGGCACTACCAGGAGCTATGTTTGTGAGTTTGTGAAGAATATGAGTTTAAAGTGAAGGGGAAGAAAACTAACAAGATCCATCGTAAGGAGAGGTCATTGGAAGCAGGAACTGGACCTTTTGGCCCTTATTTATCTTCCAGGCTTTCAAGTGCTTTTTTTAATTTTAAAGTTTCACCCAGTTTTGTTAAGTTCATGCGTTGCATCTTTGCATCCTTTATGAAACCAGGGTTGTGACTGAGTTATGCAGAGGTGTCTGGCGTGAGAGAACACACACAGAGCAGTGGTCATGAAGGGAAGTTCTGAATGTCTCTTGTGTGTCTTGGAAAACATTTAGAATTTGGCCAGGTGAATTCGTTGGCAAGGGCTACAAAGAAAAAGAAATGGCTAGGAAAAGGGAGAAAATGAAAATGTCTAGAACTTTTCACATCGTGTCTTTGGAGATCTGGAAAGACACTGTGAGGAAGCTGATGTCAAACTGCAGAAGGAATGAAATCAGATCACTGGGTCATGTGCTGCCGGTGTACTCACCAAGCTCCTAGAGACAGCACAGGCCTCCAAATACAAATTTATTGGCCTTGGAAACTTTTTTACAGAAATCTTAGGAAATGCACAGAAGAGATATTTTATTCTAGTGCGTATTCATTTATGAACAATAACATAATTCCAAGGATTAGTCACTAAATGTGCATGTCCACTATAAGCTAGGTGAGCAGTCTCCTATTAACCATGAGTTTATCAGCCACTGCCAAAGTCCAGGAGCATGCGAAGGTCCTAAAGTTGGGAACAGGAAATCAATTACAGTGGCTCAGAATATCTCTGTTTAACCATAGTTTGCTGAAGTATCTATGTGCTTAAAAGTATGCTCATGAGGCAGCAATGTCAGGCAAATGAGTGAACGTTCTCTAGAAAACAAGGCTTCTCTGATGATTTGGAGAGAATGTATTTGTGAACATGTAAAAGTTTTAAAATAAGAACAAAAATGCACGAAAGACATAAATATGGATCAAGTGGAGACAACCAGGTCCTGAGACCCTCTCCTTAAGTTTGCTTTTCTCTCTGTTTGTTTTCCTCACGTTTGCCTTAAACTCAACTTCTTCGCAAACTCACGTGCCTATGAGGTTTGCTTCAATCCACGTCTTAAAGAGGGAGAAAGTGTTGCCCTTGCAGCATACGTGGCGCTCTGATGACCCTAACTCCAGGGCGAGTGATCTGAAGTTACCATTGACACTGTTTACTTCTTTGTGGTCATATTTTTTCACTTATCCATGTTTCACACCTTGAAGCAAACACATTCATAAAAAAGTATATATCATTTTACTTGAGCCACACAATGAGGTTGCTTTAATTATGTTGGTGTTCTCAATGAAGGGAGAACAGAAAAAAGAAAAACCAAAAACAGCAGAGCTGAGACAGAACTGTATGTCTGACCACAGCACTTTGTGTTTTTATAGTTTATTATGGTTGACGGAGTTTTTCAAATCTAGCTCAGACATAGTTAGGACCCTTAACATCTGGTCTTCTCCACTTCTGAGAACACATTTTCATTCATAATCCAGAATGCTAACATAACCATCGACATGAGGGTCACTTTTGTTTATTTATAAGGATAAAAACCAATTCTTCACTCCCAAATTCACTCCCCATTGTCCTTTTGATGCTAAGGGGTCATTTGTGCCAGCTGGGAGGAGGGAGGTATGATTTCCAATACGCATGCTTCAGTTGACAAAACATCTTCTGTGACTAGTGGCTCAGCTGAAACCTCCAAAAGCAAGTTTTTCTCTCTGTCCTTGACTCTCTGGGACTCTTGGTGCAGTTGCTCCTTGAGGCATAGGTCACCTTTCTAATATGAAGCAGGTAAGCAGAAATGAAGTGTTGAAGGCACTGGAGTCATTAGCAGGTGTTAATATAGACAATAAAAGGCATTATGTACTTTGTCTTTCGGTGCATGTATTTTAGTTGGTGTATATATAAAATTCCCACATCTACTTCACGGGAAAGGCCTGATATTTGACCTTGTCAGAATCAGTAGCGTAAGCTCTCAACTGGTTTCCCTGACTCTGGGCTCCCTTTCTTCAGATCAGGCACATTACTACTGACATTCTGGCTTTATTCATGTAATTTTTTTGCCTAAAGCTTCCCACATATACATGTACGTATACATGTACATATCCAGAAGAATACCCATAGATACAAGTGATAGCTGCATGTACTACACTATAACTGTCCCATTTCAGACAAACACCTTCCTCCCACAGAACTTAATCCAGGGTCTCCCATGTGAGAATTGTTCGGTAAACAATTTTTATTGATGTACGTTTCTATTATTGAACTGTATGGTCTTGGATAAGTAAGTTCTTTGCAAGCTAGTTTTCACCTCAGTTAAAGGAAACTGATTCAATCACTTTTGAACTTTTGAGCTGAGAAGTCTTGAAAGAATGATTGTTCTGTAAACCATGCCACAGCCTTGAATTCTGAATATACTTTGCCCTTCTCTGTGCAGTATTCTGACTAGATTCATGTTTTAACTCGTTTTGTCTTCTATGTGACATTACTGGATCCATAGATTATTGAATCCAGTAATTTACTAGCCTGTAGTAGAATTTGTACTTGACAGACATATCTAGAAAATAGTCTACCTTTTCAGTTTTTAATTCTGTAAGTTTTTGACTTTTTATGTTATAGTAACTAACACACACACACACACACACACAAATTAAGTTCCTATAAATACTGTGTATTTAAGGATACTGAACATAAACTCTGTGACATTACTAAGAAAAGCAGAAGGAAATTAGAGGCTACTTTTTTGAAATTCTGTCACATGCTGTTTTGCTTCATTGATATACACTTTTTTTTCTGCAATCTTGTTTTTTTTTAATTTTATTTTTCTTTTTAGTTACATTTTGTTAACTCTGTGTCCCAGCTTTATCCCGCTCCCTCTACACTTTTTTTTTAATGTGACTGAGAAAATACTATAAATAGTTTCAGATTTTAGCAATAGTAGAGTAATTTGGGGGTTGAAAAGCTTTTTCCGTTCAGCTTAAAACAAGACACATATTTGTAAATTAAATATTACATAAGCCATACTTTGAAATATAATGGTTATAGATTAATATATGATTTCTAATAAAGATGATTTTTATATATGTACATATATATATATATATATATATATATATATATATATATATATATATATGCATGTATGATTTGCTATTTGTCAGGAGCCCAGAAGAATGAAGCACCTAAATCAGTATCTGCACATTAGAAGAGTCAAGAAAAAGATGCAGCCTGACTAGCTGCAGATGCAACACAACGATCATTTGCCCTTCCGCTGAACCCTTTATTTGCCCAGCCTCTATTATGGCAGGCCTTTATGTCCATTTCAGGACAGCTTTGCTTATTCCACGTTGTTAAAATTCCTTCCCATGAAGATATGGAAACAGCTTCTATTCCTTGTCCTAAGGTTCTAACAACAAACCAATGTACACTTCTGCTAACGTTCACTCTGACCAATGAGTCAACTGGGATTACTTACAGAGCATAAGTGGCAGATTACTTATAGGACTGTAGTTACCTTCCCTCTCAAATAAGGACACACTGGAAGGTCTTTACCAATCAAGGATGATGCCTCTTCTGTAACCACATAGATGGAGTCTCTCTCCCCTCATCTAACCTAGCTTTTAAACTCTAGTTTCTTACTGAGGCCACCTTCAGGGAGGGCAGAATTGTTTAGATGGTTGTTATGCAGGGTCTTGATACTCTGGTGAGTGTCCTGTGACCCCTTCCCCCAGCCCATCTTTTTTATCAGTGAGTATCAGAAGTCAATAAGTGCAGCTGGGATGGTCTTTGCAAGTGGGTACAGCTGACCTCCCA